GTATTTTTTGAGAAATTAAACTCTTAAATGTAAATCAAAATGAGAGAAATGTCACCAATCCCATGATATTATGCCCATATTTTCTCCTCCCTTCTATTCAATTATTTAGCATATAATAAAATTTAAGAATGTTTTTGAACTTTAAAGTTGTAGAAATGTAGTTGATGGTGAGTTTGCAGATTGCCAAACCATAAGGTCTAGTTTAAAGAACACACACACACACACACACACACACACACACACACACACACAATGCAACCAAGATCCAAGTTCTATGTGGTTTAATTTCTTTTTCCCTGTCAGTCCAAAAACAGATAGTGCAGATGTCTCCCTATAATACTAGCAACTCAAACGAGGAAGGGAAATTTGGTTATAATTAGGATGAGCTAATTTGTTGAGGATTTGCTGGAGCGCCTGCCTGCCCCACCGACTTGCCACAGCTCTTTCTCCTGTAAGATTTGTTGACAGGACCTGTGATACTGAGACGGAGAATTAAGTTTGAAAATTCAGCCTGACTTAGTGGAGGAGAGGAAAGATTCATTTCTATGCCACTAAATGCCTCATCAGGCTCCTGAACCAGAGTAAAAATCCAGGACTGACTTTGACTGCAATTTGCAGATTTGGAAAGATTCCTGTGGTCAGCGGAAAGGAAGTCTGCTCTATGGTAGTGTCATATCACCAGGGCTAGGGGTTTACTTGCCCTGCAATTCTGTGCTGTCACATTTACAGCCTGGATTGAAGAAGGTTGAGAAGGAGGTGCTGAGGAAGGAATTGAGCTTTGGGGCAAGAATTAAAAGGGGTTCCAGCAAGGAGTTAGGTTTCTTGAAACTGTTTACTTACGGTGGGGGCTGTGGAAGACCTGCCTGTATCATCAGGGTCGTTTGAATCATTCGGAGATGTTTGTACTGCAGAGTCTATTACAGATCCCTCCAGCCTGCCCTTGGCTAATTACATTTCCAGATTTAGGCTGAATATTTGCAGATTTTTCTTCTCAATAGAGAGACCACTGTCTTAGCAATAAGTAAAGTTATTATTTATGGAAGAAAGGTACACGTCACCAGCCACTTGTGACCTCATAGGAATGTTGATTCGAGTTTTACATTCTAAGGGGAAGGCCGTGGGTATGAATGTTAACAGAGACCTCTGCATGCATGCAGGTTCCCTATTAAATACCAGTCCTTGGTCACAGTAGCAGTAGCTGACAGAGCCTTTGGAAAAACAAAGTCTGTACTCTCCAGGACAATAGCACCGTCTTTAAAAGCCCTGCATCTTCTCCCTACATGGTATGTTGTGGATGAGACAGTCAATGGGCAGAGGGTGCAGACCTGAGTCAGGTGGAATTTGAGTGGAATTTCCTTCAGCAATGAAAGAACCTTGTAAAAGTGAGAATAAGGTCATCACCATTGCACACAGGGAGCGTATCTTTTAAAAACGTTTTAAAGGAAGAGTTACTCGGCTTTTAAAATATGTCAATGTCAAATTGTATCACTCAAATTCGACACAAACACCCTGCTTTTTTCATTCTTCTGTTGCCATAGTACGTTCATCTATCAGTCCGTCTCCACAAAAAACAAAAGCACAGGATTCATTTTTCTTTATTGACTAAACAGTGTCTGTTGCACCTGCTAGGACTTCACAAATGTTTGGTTAACAATGATACATCAGATTGACTCAGGATGTTTTACATTGCGTTCCTCCATCCCATTATATTTCTGCAAAATTGATATTGTGCCAGAGCTTTTGCCATCTGTATTTTACCAGCTGTGCATAGCTGAGAGTGTTTGCAGAGAGCACCGCGTAACCTGTCAGTTCTAGGAAGAGTTCTTGACGTATGCTTTTCTGTTACTTAAAAGCTAACGGAAGCTTAGCAAATGCAGCTTTATCTTATTTTCTGAGGGCAACATGGAAAATGACCCAAAATACTTTCCAGCAATCAGGTCCTATCTGATTAGAGTGGCACATTTCTGTTAAGAACAGCCCTGCTTCCTGTGTACTGTAGAGTGAATTAAATTCACTTTTATATTGATGAGATGATGGTAACGTATTCATTTTGGGTAACTGTTGACAATAAAAGTTTTCACTATTTTTGACATTTTCAAAGGTTTGTTTATTGGCTGGCTTGCTTATTCCCTTTTATTTTTTATACTGTTTATTTTGTGTGTGTAGAAGGGGGGTGTAAAAGAAATTTCACAAAGAACAATATGACAATAGTACCAGGAAAAAAGGATTTAGAAAAAAAAAATTAACCAAAATCCTATCACACTCCAAAATTTCTTAATTGTCCCTTCTTTATTTCAGATCCTTTGCTTAAATAGTTAACCGTTATAGAATTTGTGTCTTTTCCTAAAAATTAAGGTCAAGTGTTTTATCAACTCTGCTTTATCTAAAGACAAACATGTATCCCTCACTTTTAATATCAGCTGTTTGCTAATGTATATGACATGTGCCGCTTCCACATGATCTTAAATCATTACGAAATTCAGTAAATCTTCATTTCTGAGCTTTTTAAAAATTGATAGTTGTCCCTAAATCTTGAATAAAAGCATTTAAATGTTAGAGAAGGTCAACATTTAGTAATACCTCAGTTCCCCCCAGCTCCCTCCCCCCCCACACACACACCTCAGTTGACCTCTATTTAACTTCAGTGTTTTACTTTTTTAAAAAATATATATTTTTATTTATTTCAGAGAGGAAGGGAGAGAAAAGAGAGAGACAGAAACATCAATTATGAGAGAGAATCATTGATTGGCTGCCTCCTGCACAGCCCCTACTGGGGATTGAACTCACGACCCCGGCATGTGCCCTGATCAAGAATTGAACTGTGACCTCCTGGTTCATAGGTTGATGCTCAACCACTGAGCCACGCTGGCCGGGCAGTGCAGTTCACTTCTTGATTCTTTTTTAAGCAGTACACTTTCCTACCTCATCTTCTATATGTATTATATGAGAAATAGCTTGTCAAGGGTTAGTTGTAGAAATTAATACACATTTCATTGGTAGAAGTATTGATACCTTTTGACTTTGGAAGCCAGAGTATTGACAACATTGGAGATGGCATTCATCTGTATGTCCAAATTCTCCACCAAGTATTTGTGAAGTGCCATACTTGGCATTCTGTCAGGTTTTGTGGAAAATACTGATGTGCAAACTTTATTGCTGCTGTAAGGAACTTTTCACTCATCTTTGTTTTTCTTTAGGATTTTTCTCTGTATTCTTTGAGCTGCTTTCAATATCAAGGACTTGTATTTGCAATGATACGTGAATAATGTTTAGCGAGCTAGCTTTATCTACTAGGTTTATTGTGAAATTAGATTATTCATATCCCAGACAAACATCTGTTATGAGCAACTAGTCATTTAGATTTAGTATAGAAAATTTATCTTTTTTATTTATTATTTTTAAATAAAATAATTTTTAATAATAGAGTTGTTTTAAACAGAGATTAAGGTTGAGAACTGTTTATAGGGTTATTTTCTAGGATAAGAAACCTCTTATTTCTCCCTCTCCCTTCCTCTCTGAAATCAATAAAAATACTTAAAAAAAACCTCTTAAGTTCTTTGGAGAAGATTCCAAGTTGTGACCTCATGAGTTAAGGTTGTTGATAATGAATGTCATGAGATTGAAGGGGATGGCACTCAACCTCTAGTTCAGTACAACTGGCAAACTTGAAGTTGAACTTCCAAAAAAATAATAATAGTATATGCACCAATAAGCTGCATATACTATTATATTCCCTATTCCTTAGTTATTTTGTAGTCTGCTGAGTTATATGTCTCTGTAGACAAGGCCATGTAGATTTTGATTTTTGTACTTCTTTTGCACATAAATTGTACATATTCATTGGAGATGAATTAGAAATACACATTAGGAATATAATGAATATTATATGAAATACACAGGAATAAAACTTAGCCCACCACCCAAAGATCACTAATGTTAATATTTGGTATAGTTTGCTTTAGCCTTTTTTGCTGTAATAGGTGCATTTTTTTTCTTACCTAAATCCATTTTTTGTTTTATAACCTAATAATATATTTTTTTCAGTGCTAAGTTTTTTGGGCCTGTTTGGAGTGGGGATGGGGGGTGGGGGGTGGTTGCAGAATGGGACTTGCTATCTACTTTATTCATTGCATTTCAAAAGAACACATAAAACTTGATATGGACTTTGGGTTAGTATATGTATTTAGAAATCTCAAGTGACTATAAATAAGCATGTGTATTTCGCTACAAATTCATACTTAAAGCATAGTAGGATAGCAGTTTTAGTTAGAAAAATCCAAGCATGTTTTGGGGGAAATCTTTTTCTTCTAAAAGGTTCAAATGACTCCACATAAAAGACAAAGTGGAACAGAATGAAATGAAAACAGAGAAGCTAAAACACATCTTTGAAATGCATGTTCATATCCTGAAAACACATATTTGCTAAAGCTGTAGAATACATACTGATGGTGAATTTACCTGCCTTTCCCATAGCTGGCCTGCAAGTCTTCTAAAGCTGGAGACTGTGTCTATGTACCATCCATTCTAGACTTACTCTTAGCACAATTCCTGGCAGATAGTAACACCTACAAAACATGAGTTGAATGAATGACTGAAGGAAAAAAAAGAAAAAGAGAACCAAAAAGATGGGGTCATTCACCCCTTCCTTGTAGTGAAGACCAGTTAACCAACTTAGGAAAATAGATTTATCAGCCTATCTTTAAAAACTGTAGCAACAAAAATGGCAAATCTTTTTTAATCACTCCGGGCTCCTACTCCTTTGCACCCCAAATAAGCCATTGTCTCAGCCCCTTATAAAAAGGCATATCTAAGTGAACTCTGAGAAATTTCCCGCTTTGCCTCATGAAGCCCTCCTGATTGCTCTCGGCCCCACCTCTAGCAACTAGTGAACAACAGCAAAAATCCAGGCGCCATAATTGAGCTGAGACACTAGGCCTCAGATTGGAGGGATGATGATGCCAGACCAGCCTCTAACGCCCTCCCTCCTCTCTCTCCCTCAGGTTGACTTTTTCACCATGATCCCCTGCAGAGCAGCACTGTCTTTTGCCCGATGTCTGATCAGGAGAAAAATCGTCGTCATGGACGGCCTAGAAGATTCCAAATTAAGCCGTTGCTTATCCACCATGGACCTCATTGCCCTGGGGGTTGGAAGTACCCTCGGTGCTGGGGTTTACGTCCTGGCTGGGGAGGTGGCCAAGTCGGATTCAGGCCCCAGTATCGTCCTGTCCTTCCTCATCGCCGCCCTGGCTTCGGTGATGGCCGGCCTCTGCTACGCTGAATTTGGGGCCCGAGTTCCCAAGACGGGGTCCGCCTATCTGTACACATATGTTACCGTTGGAGAGCTGTGGGCCTTCATCACCGGCTGGAACCTCATTTTATCCTATGTGATAGGTAGGTTTCCCAAATTCCAGCTAATTGTGTGGCGTGGTAGCATAGCACTCCCGAGTCCCAGGCCTTGGGGCTCCCTTGTAGGTCTGCGTTGGTTAATGACCATGGTCTTGAGTGTGAGAATCACATGATCCTTTTTCTCATCTCTACAATGCCTCTCCTTCTCACTGCACAGCTGGGCAATTCTACCTCATCTCTGAATACGCCGCTTAGTGGATTTACAAACCTCTTTTCAAAAATATAGCTCTTTAGTGCAAATAAAGTTACCTGATTCCGCGGGTGATGGATTGAGCATTTGATTACTAGGTTATAATTATAATATTGTGAAATAATTGTATGTGGGATGAAAATGGTCAAGTCAATCTGAACTAACTAACCCATGTGTCTCCTAGAATAGAGTAGCAATTGATGTCATGGTCATTTTCGCCCCGTGACCCTGTATTCTCTGAATGTCCTGTGTTTTGGGAAGGTACATCAAGTGTTGCAAGAGCTTGGAGTGGCACCTTTGATGAACTTCTGAACAAACAGATTGGCCAGTTTTTCAGGACGTACTTCAATATCAATTATACCGGCCTTGCGGAGTATCCAGACTTCTTTGCTGTCTTCCTCATATTGCTTCTATCAGGTAAGAAAACCAGTGACACTCCTCCCTACATTGAGCTAGACTAATTGTCCCAGGAAAGTAGATTACCACTGAAATTGGAGCCTGCGTTCCCCAGACCAGGCAGCGTATTTCTACACTTATATTATCATTGGAGGTCTGTGGGCCTGGCTAGAATCCCATGTTATCTTAGGTGATAGACATGCTTCAAAAAGACATCTGAATTGTGTCGAGTGGTAGAAATAGCACTTTCATGTTCATGGCACTTGGAATGCACTAAATAATAGCAGGAGGCCCATCAAACTTATAATACTCATTGGAGAGTTGCAGAAATGGCAATGAAGTTTCAGTAAGGAAGAATGTATAATATTTGGCATTATTTCATCTTGTTATATACAATTGAGGATATTTACAAGCATACTATTTCTAAAAGAAACTCTGTCTTTCCATTCATGCCATTCTCTATATATTGTGGGCATCTGGTGGGTTCTTTTCGGCAGTGTTTTTGTTTGTTTGTTTTGATTTTTTTGTTCTTTTCTTGTTATTTTTTGGTGTAGACATCATATAGGCAAACATACTTGGTACTAGGATTGTTTTCACCAGCACTGTGGCATAGTGGTTTAGAAGGGCACAGGGAATAGAGTCAGAGAAGCCAGCTTTCTCCTCCTACTCTACCACTTAGAGTCTTTCCAACATTGAGTGACTTCATTTTTCCATGATTCAGTTTGCTCATCCATAGATACCAGTGTTTCTCTTGTACAGGCTTCCTGCTTGGTACCTAGTAAGCACTTAGATGGAAGGCAGTTTTGCTTTGTAGGCATAGTTAATTCCTGCT